TAAAATCTAACTATTCTATTTTGTAACTTGTACTAGCATAGAGACTAAGAGACTACAATTTAGGACTACAATTCTAGACTTGAACCCTGGTGTATTAGTCAAGCTCTGGCCATAGCGACAGAGTGACTCTCGATCCTTATCAAGGCCATAGCGACAAGATGGGATAGAATCATTAAGGCCAAGGCGACAAAATGATCCTTGGTCTATTAAGGCCATAGCGACAAAATAGATTGAAAACGAGGGTATCGTTGATTGTAGTCGAAAATTTAGAATCTCGGGGCTAGATTCGTAAATGAGAGTCCGATTTAGATTCTTAAGTCGCACTTTGGACTCATAAATCGTAAACTAGACTTGTGATCGCAATTTAGCTACTCTGGACGTAAATTGGATTTTGTAACCATCGCTTAGACTCGCGGGTCGTAAGCTAGGTCTGAGCAACGAGTATCATCCAGCCAAAGCGATGGATGATACATGAGGTTGAAGAGACGGATGTCATCTAGCCGGAGCGATGGATGATTGATCCGTCTGAAGCGATGGATGATTATTCTAAATATGATACTGCATATATCTCTATGGATTAAAGAGAGATTTATTTAGAATAATATCGCTATTGAGAATACATGAGAATAGTATGAGCGATAAACAAAAAAATTAACGTATTTTTTGGTCGCTGGTTGCCACTGACAGAAGCATAGCCTGCATGGTTACTCCGGCCAATCCTATCTCTTAACAGGTGATAGTTCCTCACTACTAGCGTGATGTACTTGATTGCGAGTATGAACTGTGGCTCTGGTTGCCATCACTGTCATAGGATTGAGAGCGTGGGCTATGGTCATAACTGTTACTGGGCCGAGAGTGTGAGCTATGGCTTTCTTGGCCATAACTGTTACGAGACTGAGAGTATGAGTCATGACTTTGGTGGTCACAACTGCTGATGAGAAGCTCCTCTCTGTATCGAGGAGGACTAGTCGAGGTTTCAGACTGGGAACTTGTATCCTCGTATGTATCTTCTTTAGCATAGCGAGGTTTTTTCCGGTTGGGCGGCTCGACTCCGCCCAACTTATTATTGTTCTCCTCTTCTATCTCAATAAACGATTGAGCTCATTGGAAGAGGTCGGGGAGGGTCTCCACTTTATGGAGCGTAAGGTTCTGGGCCAAAGGGGAATAGGGTATTAGCCCATTCATGTACCCCGCTATAGCCAGACTCGGGATTAGGTCGTTCACTTCTGTCATCATCGAAGTGAACTTAATCGTGTAATCCATCAGAGACAGTTTGTTTTGTCGTAATGCGAGCAGTGCGTTGGCACTGTGTTTTATTCTGATCATCCCCACATGTTGGGCGATGAACTTCGAAGAGAGGTCCGCGAAGCTGGAGACCGAGCCAGCTGGCAGACCAGAGAACCACCGAGAAGCGTTGCCTTTGAGAGTGTCGGGGAATGCCCGACACAACAGTCCGCTATCGGTGGTCTGCGGTTCCAAGACACTAAGGTAGAGGTTGGTGTGATCTTTTGGATCACTCGAACCGTCATACGCTTCTATCTTGGGTACCCGCCAGGTTGGTGGAAAAGATTCTTTCAAAAGGTCCTTGTGAAAAGGAGCGCTTTTGATTCTCAAGAACTCGATCGGAGTGCTGGCGACCGGATTGTCGGCCAGCTTCCGACGAAGATCTTCCACGAACTTTGCTGTAAGAGTCTTGTGAGTGCGACTCTTGCTAGGTCCAGCTTTTTCCTTAGGAGATGCTGGAGATTTTCTCTTTTTCTCCGTAGATGGAGGATAGTAAGACCCAGATTCACCCGCTCTTTCGCGGGTGATGGCCTTCTTGCCCCTCGCTTTCTCGAGGTTGCTAACTATTTTTTCTATGGAATCCATAAAGTTAATCAACCTCTCTTGTAGCGCAGGAGTTAGGTTCGCTCCCCCATTTGATGGGAGTGATGAGGGCACCTCATGTGTCGAAAGTGGTATATTGGAGGTTGGTATAGTACGGGAACCAACCCTCCTACCAGAAGCTCCTACCTCAGTAGCAATGGCAAGAGCTTTCTTTTTATGATCCTTAGTAAAAGGAGCCATAAATGGGATGGTTGCTTCTATCGGGTCGAAGCAACAAACTACGAGTGAAAGTTCTTCCGAAGTGCCGGAAGCTATGGGTAGGTACCTGCCCCCTCCGAGTGTCACAAAACAGAAAAATTTTGTATAATATTTCTTTGTAGTTTTGTGACCCCCTTGAGCAGTACTACTAGTTCCCAAAGTTTGAAATTAGCAAAAAATATTGAAATTTTTTTGCAATTTTTCTGCAGAAAATCGTGCTGCCGGAGGTGGTTTTCGAGATGCCTGTTTAGACCTATCCCAGAAAAGATTCCTTGCACTGTTGGGAAATTCTGCTCTTCTGTACTCGTAGAGAAAACTTTTTTCACGTGAAATGTGGTCGTAGAATTCCAAAATCAGATCTGGGTATTCCGGAGGTGGACCGACAAAATCACTGGTAGTGAAAAAAGGTAAAAAGTCCCATACTCTTTTTTTTTTTACCGAAACGACGATGCGAGTCCAACCAAAGCGATGGATTTTCGTTTCGGTAAAAGAGCTGGGCTATGCGTGATCTTATTCAGCCGAAGCGATGAATGAAGACGATGACCGAGTCGACAATTCAAGTGTGGGAATCGTCTACTCAGTGTGGGAGTCGGCGATTAAATTGTGGGAATCGCCTACTCAGTGTGGTCTTATTCAGCCGAAGCGATGAATGAAGACGATGACCGAGTCGACAATTCAAGTGTGGGAATCGCCTACTCAGTGTGGGAGTTGGCGATTCAATTGTGGGAATCGCCTACTCAGTGTGGGAGTTGGCGATTCAATTGTGGGAATCGCCTACTCAGTGTGGGAATCGTCGATTCCCAGGATAGGTGATTTTCTATGAAAAATCCAACCTATGTGAAAGTGTAAGTACCAGAGTAAAAGGCATTGACAGCACTTGCTCAAAAAGCTAAAGGAATCAGCGACACCCTATGTGGAGTCGGCGATTCAACTTATTGTCTTTTTGAACCAAGCCGTGGACAACACTCTTAGCTAGCAGAATAACCCGGAATCGGCGACTCACTAGGTGGAGTCGGCGATTGCCTGTGTGAATCGGAGATTCCTTGACACAGAGTCAGCGATTCACCCTAAGGGAATCGAGCCGAACTTTGCGAAGAAAAATTCGCGATTATGACAGGATATCGTAGTTCGATAGTCCGACAGACGGCGCTAGCTGATGAAGCACGAAATCTGCTACCAGTAAGCTCGCGGGGTTGCGAGGAGGGCCGGAGGCTTTGGAGTCCACGACGCGCGCTTTACGTCAAATACCTGCACAAGTGGAGGGGAGTCGGCGACTCAGGTGTGGGAGTCGGCGACTCGGCTCCTTTGTTCTCTGGTGTGGAGTGTTGTGAGTCAAGGTGACATGTGAATGGAGGACACCTCTAGGACCCCTTTTATAGGGTCCTGAAAGCGTTTCCATTCAATAGAGTGGGGCCCACCCCATTATGGTACCCTATTGAAGGGCGCCATAATGGTGTGGGCCCGTCCAAGTAACGGCTAGGAATCGCCTACTCCTTGTGGGAATCGCCTACTCAGGTGTGGGAATCGCCTACTCCTTGTGGGAATCGCCTACTCAGGTGTGGGAATCGCCTACTCCTTGTGGGAATCGCCTACTCAGGTGTGGGAATCGCCTACTCCTTGTGGGAATCGCCTACTCAAGGGGAATGGGCTAGTCCCCACCGGAATCGGCTACTCCCCACTGGAATCGGCTACTCCCCACTGGAATCGGCTACTCCCATATGTTGACTTGAGGACTTTGACGTAGACACTTGCTCGACACCGTGGATGCCTTCCGGGGATCCGGCGTAAAGCGACGGAACCCTAGTCCTTGTTGAGGGGCGTTGCTGGGAGTGACTGACGTAATCAGGCATGTCTCACCAGGTTGTTTTTGATGACTGATCTTGACTCACTGTCTTTTTGTGTTGTTTTGTGTGTGTTGGAGCAGCTTGCTCTTTTTGGGTGTAGCAACTGTTTCTTTTCTCTTTATAGTGTCTTTTTATAGAGAAAGAAAAAATTAGAAGAATTGGGGTCAGGATGAGACCTGCTCTGATACCATGACAGATTATATACTTTGATATATATAAAGATATAAGTTTGAAGTATATAATATATGAAATGTTTTGTATGTTGGTATGAATGCAATGCGTATATATAAAATGATACTGTAGGATCAAGATTGATCAAGAGTTGATGAAGTTTAGATCCACAACTTGAGTTGTTTGAAAGATTGAAGTGTTGCAGAAGCGATTGACAGTTGCAACGATTACAATTTGAGTGATCAAACTGTGTGAGTGTAGATTGAAGGTTTAGAATATGAGAACTTAAGAGCTAATGAGGTTTAGGATGATGTATATATAGATGATCATAATCACCCAACGGCTATGTTTGTTGGATGTATTGATGAAATGTAATAAATTGAAATGAATCATGGATAATTAATATTGATTATATGTTGACTTATTAATATGGATTTATATATATATATATATATATGAATGTAATTAATAGATATTTAGAATGTGAAGAGTTGTGAATAAGTATGAGGGGTTCTATGTAATGTTTAATATAATACTATAATTGTTATATTATTTTAATTGAGGGGTACATCTCTAATAATTGATAGTTGATTCAATCTTTATGGGTTTTTTGAATCTACAATACACATGTAACTGCCGATACACATACACATATTCCTAACTAACAGTCTAAAAATGTAACTAGCAATACACATACACATATTCTCCACTAACATAGGGTGTTAACTACTGGTAGAGTGTCAAACGAGCCGAGCCGGACAGAGTTTTGGTTTATTGAGCCGGGCTCGGACTCGGCTCGTTAAAGAGTTATCCAAGTTTGGGCTCGGCTCGTTAAGGAGTTATCCAGACTCGGGTTCGAGTTCGAACTTAACATGAAATTACAGGTTAAAATAAATATTTTGAAGAAGTGGGGTATTAAACCCACAACCTCTTTCATGTTAAACAAGTATTTTACCATCTAAACTATATCATCATTCTTTACAAATATAATATAATATTTTATTATTATTATTATACTTCTCTTACCGAGCCCACCGAGCTTAACGAACCGAGCCGAATCCAAACTCGAGCTCGGAGCTTCAGGCTCGGGTTCGGATCATTGGGCTCGCGAGCCCGAACTACCCTAACTACTGTTAACTAACATAGGGATAGTAACTACTTGACTTGTTTGACATTACATACACATAGGGGTATTAATATAAAAGATAAGTTCTTAATATAATCAATTAGTTAATTATAGATTTTAACAAGGTGGAAGATGCAAATCTTCCTCTCCGTCCTCCATTGCTGGCATTAGAATCGTTAAATTGTAAATGAGGAAATGAAAGAAAGGGCCTCAGCCCTCAAGAAAGGATCATGATTTTTCTTGGATTCGGAGTTACAGATACTATTTTATTTTAATCGGAGGCAGAGATCCGAATAAAGGAATTGAAATAAACCACGACTAGAATTTTTCGTGGGGTCCGTTACGACGAGAATTTGGAGAAAGAGGAACGAAAATGGCGACGATGAGAATGGCGGCGAGATCTGTTGGTTCCATCCGCGGTAGATTGAACCCAGGGATCCCGAATAAGAGAGGGTTTTCTTCTGCAGCTCACGACGATGCATGTAATAAATCATCCAACTCGTTTTTCTCTTCTCAGATATCTCAAATGCATATTTTCTTCCCCCTCCTCGATATTGAGTTTCTTCATTTTTGTTTCTGTATTTTTGAATCCCGTGTCGTGTTCAATTTTTACTGTATTCATGTATATATTTGATATCGTGATTTCCGATTTTTTTTTCAATCTCCCCACAATTCTACAATTTCCACTCTTCTATTTTGTGACGGATTTGGATCGATTTTGGGGTTTTTCATAAGCTAGGGCATAAATTGAAGTAAAATGGATACTTTCTATCGACGTTTTTTTTGGTTTTTTTTTTTTGCCTGGTTGTTTTCAGACGAGACAGCAAAATGGGAGAAGATTACTTATTTGGGAATGGTGGGATGCTTCCTCCTCGGAGCTTATACTCTTTCTAAGCCTCACCCTCACTACGATGAACCTCCGGTAATTCCTTAATATTAAAAAAAATCTATTTACATGGTTTAAAAATCAAAATTTAATTACTTACCCGATTCTATTATCATCAGGCTTATTCTTATCTTCACGTGCGTAACAAGGAATTTCCATGGGGTACGTATATTTCTACATTTCCTTTTGTTTTGGATGATTATGATAATGATGTTTGAGTTTTCTTAGAAATGTGCCTTTTGTTGAATAATACGTAATTTTAAAAGTACCACTGTTGTGTAGCGGTTGGCGAGACGCTGCTCCACAATCCACTGCTAATCGTGGTTTATATGTTTGATTTTTTGTGTAGTTTTATATATAATGGTAACTATTTACTCTTATGTAATTATAGATTATTAAGCTGGTTAGGCTTATTTAGGGTTTCTTAATAATAGTAATTACTGATATGTTTTTTAGAAACAAGATTTAAGGTTATCAGTTATGTGGGAATTGTGATAGAAATAAGGAGGATAAAGTAGAAAGTGGGGTAGACGCGGGCGGATCCATCTCAACAGTGAAGGTAAATCAGTCAGGTATAATATGAGTGCAAGAAGATCATAAAAAACAACCTAGATTATCGGAAAAAGCTTGTCTAGAAAGTTTTTAAGTCGACACCCTAGCTGACAGTCTTCCAAGAAATCCTACTTTTCTAGGATATTATGAGTATATCTCACGTCCTTATCACAATTATAAAAGGTCGGTTTTGGCCTTTCGGAGGTGGCTCGAGCATCCAGCTATACTATATACCCTTCCTACCACTACAATCTTCGACCTTCAGAGGTTGGAGCTTTATTCTTCATTTTTAATGAAAACCGTCTGGTATTTTTAATATGCTTCTTCTTCTGCTCCTTAAAGAGTAAAGAGACAGATCTGTACAATTTCCACATCTGTACAATTACCCACTACTGACAGTTTGTTTTTGAAATTTTTCCAGGTCCAAATGGTCTCTTTGAAGTAAAACACGAGGACCATTAACCTCAAACTTGCATGCAAACAAGCATATCTGCTACTTTGGTATTCCATATTTCATCTTATATTATTCCCTATCTTATATGTAAATGAAATTGTAGAACTAAGAAGTAATTTTCACATTTCACAATTTCCTCTACCTGTTCCTCTCTCCAGTGTTGAAACAAACAAAATCTGGGTAACTTTGTTTGAGTAATAAAAGTGGCTTTCAAATACTCAAATAGATCTTTATTTTTTGATGAAATAACTCATCCAAACCAAAATCTAATTTATAATTTTTTGTAAGTGCCAATCATTGATCACATATTTATAAGAAGTTTGTAAACAAACAAAATAAGGGTAACTTTGTTTGATAATCAAAGTGGTTTTCAATTACTCAAATAGATCTTTCTTTTTTGATGAATAATAAATAACTCATCCAAACCAAAATCTAATTTATAATTTTTTGAAATGCCAATCAATGATCACATATTTCTAAGAAGTTTTTAAACAAACAAAATCTGGGTAACTTTTTTGATAATCAAAGTGGCTTTCAATTACTCAAATAGATCTTTCTTTTTTGATGAATAATAAATAAATAACTCATCCAAACCAAAATCTAATTTAAAATTTTTGTAGGTGCCAATCCATGATCACATATTTCCAGAGGAGAAACAAAAAAAATTTGGGTAACTTTATTTAATAATCAAAGTGGTTTTCAAATACTCAAATAGATCATTGGATTCAACTAACTCATCTAAACCAAAATCTAATTTATAATTTTTTGTAAGTGCCAATCAATGATCACATACTTCTAAGAAGTTGCTGGAAAATAATGATGATATTAAAAAACAGCACGAAGCTGTTCAAATTTCAAAGAAAAAACAAAACAAAACAAAAAACACTAAGAAAAGACAAACTGAAAATCTATTCTAAATTAAAAAAAACTAAGCTAAAAGTCAATCAAACACATAATAAATGCCTTCTTCCTTATTTTTTGAGAATCGGAGAACTGACTTTACTTCTGATCCGACTGGACCTCCTCACCGGAGTCAAAGCCTCGTCCTTGATTCGCTCATAGGTAGTGAAGCTTCCATAAGAAGCAGATGATGCTGCGGAGTCTCCGAAAGACCCACTTCCTCCAACTCTCTCAAAGCTGAAGCTCTCGCCTCCTAAAGATGCAGTTTCATGGTAGTTCGTTGTGCTGCTCATCTCCGAAGACCCACCACCACCACCGGCGGAATCATGCGTTTTTCTCGCAATGACATTGAACGAATGATCATTGCCGGCGGAGATCGACATGGGCGTCGACTGATCTGGTTGCCGGGTATGATCGGAAACCAACACATTCTCATCATCGGAGCGGACTATAGTAGCGGTCCTAGGGGATGATGGTGCCAAGATCGACATGGACGCCGACTGATCTGGTTGTCGGGTATGATCGGAAACCAACACATTCGAACCATCGGAGCGGAATATAGTAGTGGTCCTAGGTGATGATGGTGCCATCTCTTCCGCTTCCTTCTTTTTCTTCTTCTGGGTGAGGAAGTACAGAGAGAGCAACAAAGCTGCAAGAGCTACAATCACAGAAGACACACCAACAACGACGGCGTTTTTTGTTGGAAGAGTAGTAGTTGCTGCAGTGGATGGTGATGTTTTTGCCTCATCTTCAATTCGAAGCTCGGAATCTCCATCACTGCTACTTCCATTTTGTTCTTCCTCTTCGTGAACCTGCTGCTCCATTTCCTCTTCTATATGATCAGAAACTAATTCTGGTTCTGGCTCTGGCTCTGGTTCTAGATTCGATTCTAGCTCCGGTACTGCTGTGGTTGGGTCATCAGAAGCTTCCTCTTCTATTTGATCAGAAACTAATTCTGGTTCTGGCTCTGGCTCGGGCTCTGGTTCTAGCTTCGATTCTAGCTCCAGTACTGCTATGGTTGGGTCATCAGAAGCTTCAACCAGAGCTTCTGCTGATGCTTCCTCTGTAACTTCCTTCTGGTCATGTTCTTCCTCGACTGGAATATCTTCTGGTTGCACTTCTTTTTCATTGGTGGCGACAACCTCCACATCAATATCAACATCAGCAACGAAATGTTTCGTGGCAGGAAAACCAACAAAGCTCTGTTCTTCTTGGTCTATTGTTGAGTTAAGGAATTCATAATGGACGAAGAAGATACCGAGGTTTCCTTCTTCTGTTCTTGGCCGAGAAATGTAATTTAGTAATGATATGTACTGTCTGATTCTGGATAAGAACAGTCCTGGTTCTATATATGGTGATGATAGCAGTGACAGCGATGACGGTGGCGGTGGTGCCTCTGCGTGGTAGAAGATGACAGGAGTGTCTATTGCAGGAAATAAAAAGCAAGCTGCAACTACCATGAAAACAACCGGAAGGATTCTGGGTTTGTGTAAACTGCGTAGACGAGAGAAACCTCTTCTGGATTTTCCCAAATCGCAGTTGCTTCTGATCTCAGTTTCTTCTTCTTTTTCACCCTCTTCTTTTTCTACTAATTCTGGTTCTGCTGGTTCTTCTACTTTGTCTTCTTGGAGAAGACTGTCATGGGTATCGGAACCGGAATCTTCATCCTCTTCATCATGGTCATCGTCGACGTCATCACAGCCTTCAGAAGACAGACTGTCGTCGGAGAATTGCTCAAAGAGGTGCTGGTTTCTGTCAAGATAGCGATGGATTCGAGGATTGGGTTTGTAATGAAGGAATTGAGGTCTCGGCGAGAGGAAATTTCTATCGAGATCGTATGGAGGAGCAGTAACAGCTGATGGATCAGCATCCAAAGGAGCTATAACCGGCGGATCTGGAGGTGGAGGTGGTGGTGAAGTGGTAGGAATAGTAGTTTCATCAGGTTTTTTATCACGAACGTTCTGATTACCAAAACACATCTCAGAATCAGAGCCAGCTATCAAAGAATACCTATTACTGCTGACGATTTGAGGTGCTTCGTTTCTTTCCGACAAG